TTAAAGACCTAAATGTAAGACTGGGTACTACAAAACTCTTAGAGGAAAACATAGGCAGAACACTCTTTGACATAAACCACAGCAATGTCTTTTCCAAGCTGTCTCCTAGAGTAATGGAAATAAAAACAAAAATAAACAAATGGGACCTAATTAACTCAAAAGCTGTTGCACATCAATGGAAACCATAAACAAAATGAAAAGACAACGCACACAATGGAAGAAAATATTTGCAAACGATGTGACCAACAAGGGATTATTCTCCAAAATTTACAAACAGCTCATGCAGCTCAGTATCAAAATAACAAACAACCCAATCAAAAAATGGGCAGAAGATCTAAATAAACATTTTTCCAAAGAAGAAATACAGATGGTCAAAAAGCACATGAAAAGATGCTCAACATCACTAATTATCAGAGAAATGCAAATCAAAACTACAATGAGGTATCACCTCACACGGGTCAGAATGGCCATCATCAAAAAATCTACAAACAATAAATGCTGGAGAGGGTGTGGAGAAAAGGGAACTCTCCTACACTGTTGGCGGGAATGTAAATTGGTACAGCTACTATGGAGAACAGTTATGGAGGTTCCTTAAGAAACTAAAAATAGAGCTGTCATATTATCAAGCAATCCCACTCCTGGGCATATATCCAGAGAAAAATATAGTTCAAAAGAATACATGCACCCCAATGTCAATTGCAGTGCTGTTTACAATAAGCAAGACATGGAAGCAGCCTAAATGGCCATCAACAGAGGAGTTGATGAAGAAGATGTGGTACATATATACTATGGAATATTACTCAGCCATTAAAAAGAATGAAATTATGCCATTTGAAGCAACATGGATGGGCCTGGAGATTATCATAATAAGTGAATTAAGTCAGACAGAGAAAGACAAATGTCACATGATATCACTTATATGTGAAATCTTTAATACAAATGATAGAAAATGAACTTATTTACAAAACAGAAGTTGACTCACAGACTTAGAGGACGAGGAGGAGGGAATGATTTGGAGTTTGGCATTGACATTTACACACTGCTATATTTAAAACATAACCAACAAGGACCTACTGTATAGCACAGGGAATGCTGCTCAATATTCTGTAATAACCAAAATGGGAAAAGAATTTGAAAAAGAATAGATACATGTATATGTATAACTGAATCACTTTGCTGTACACCTGAAACTAACACAACATTGTTAATCAACTATGCTCCAATATAAAATTTTTTTAAATGACAAGTATAAGAAAATTCAGAGGAATAAAGTTAACTAGGCATTCAGCAAAATCAAAACACACAAAAAACCCAGAATTTCTATTATATCTCTGTCCTAAAAATACAACTGATCAATTCAGTCTAACATATTCAAATTTAATAATTAACATGAATTTTTACTGCATTTTAGAATTTATAGAAGAAATTCTTTGTTTTTGACTCAGGGTGTTTCAATCACACTTGTGATGCTCCAGAAACACAGAATGACCCAAGATTTTATTACCACAATTAAAACAGGCTAGCATATATCAGGTAGTAAGTAAATGCTCACTGAATGAAACTAACAAATATTATTAAAATATGGCTTGTTATATAGTTTTAGAAGGATACTTGATGACAATTACACATTTTTAAAGTGTAATATGTCACTCTTTAACTTTTATGGAGAAAATATCACTTTTAGGATAAAAGAAAGTATACCCAAGATATGTACAATTGATTCATAAACTAGCAACCATCTTCTGTCTCGCTGCATTTACAGTCAACATTATACAATTATGAAGGTACTGATTTGTGATAGGTATATGTAATTAGCTTTAGACTGCTAAAAGTTAAATAATTAATATTATTCCTACACATCATTTTTTTTATCAGTTAATATTACAGGTTTGCCTAGTACAACGATGAGGGAAACTGTTTTCCTAGTCTCTTAAGTGCTCAACTCCTCTCTAGTGGCACCATCTTCTCAGAGTAAAGCAGATTCAGAACCATCTCTATTTCAATCAACTTTCTCTCCTTCCTTCACTGCCAAGTTTCTTCAAAGGGTAATCAAAGTTTATTACCTCTGCTTCCTCACCTCCCCATCATTCCTCAATATCTATAGCAGCCTGGCTACTTCCCTCAACCTCCCACTAAACCTATTCTCACCAAAGTCATTCCTCCTTAGTGGCTAAATCCAAGTAGTGCTTTTCAGTCCTTATCTTGCTCTTTCAATTCTTTATGCTCTACAATTGCTGTGTCCAATACAGTGACAACTAGCCACATGAGGCTACTCATCACTTTCAAATGTAACAGGTACAATGAAGGAAAATGAATTTTTAACTTTTAAAATTTTAATTAAATTTAAATTTGAAAACAGACACATGATTCAGCTTTAAGTTTCTTTGAAACAATTTCGGTATGTGAACCTACTTTTTCAACTGTATATTTTATAAAACAAATCAAGAATTTCCAATGAAAATTTAGCCTCTGAATTAAGATGTAACATATACACTGAATTAAGTATAACATATATACTGGATCTCAATGACTCAGTATAAAAAAGATTATAAAATGATCACATTAATAATTTTTATATTGATTACATATTTTAATAATGGTATTTCAGATATACTGGGTTAAATAAAATAATCATTAAAATTAGTCTCAACTTTTTCTTTTTACATTTCTTAAAGCAGGTACTAGAAAACTGAAAATTATCTATGTAGAATATACTTTGTTTCTATTGGACAGTGGCGTGCTATAGCATTAGATATAAATGACCACTCATTCCTTCTTAAAATGCTGCTGCTTTTCTCCTTCTTCTTCTTGGACTCCCCCTTTCTAGTGTGCAGTGTAACTTATTCTTCCACTCACTCCTTAAATGCCAGTGTCTCCCAAGGTTGTCCCTAGGCCCTTTCCCCTCCTCACACTAGGCACTTTCCTTGGGTGATCTCACCCTCACGCATGGCTCCCACTGTTCCTGTACCCTGAGGACTGTCAACCCTCTAATGTGCAAATCAGCCCCTCTCCTGAAAACATTAAGTTCAACTCGACCTACACCTAAGTACACCTGCACTTAATTTGCCGTTACATCCTTACATATTTACCTTATTAATATCATAAATTTGGTCCCTCTTTTCCATTTCATTCAGGCCTTCATGATTTCTCACTTTTACCACTACAATTGCTTTGAAAGTGCTATCCCTGGCACCTTCCAAAGCAACTTCCTTTTGCTGGTAAGTTTCTAAAATTCACACCTAGCCATATGATTTCTCTATTTAAAATACTTTGGTGGTTTCCCCACTGCCTTCAAGTTAAAATAAAAACTTCTTCTAATCATACATAAGGCTTTATGCTTCATCATCAACCCTATAAAATCCCAAGCTCAGGGATATCTAAGCACCTGCAGTTCCCTGAATCCAGCATTTGCTTCCTCACCACCATTCTTTGCACATGCTCTTTTTGCTGGCAGGAATACCGCTCCTAAAACTCTATCCTGTTCTCTTAGTCATCCTTCAAAGCTCAGCTGATATATCATCTCTCCCAGGAAACATCTCCAAACCACCAAGTCTGAACAAGTGTCCCTCCTCTGTGTCACCATCACCCCTATACACAGCTCTACCAATAACCCAATGACACTGCCCTAGAATGACCTGGTTACTAGTCTGTAAACTCCCTGAAGGTAGGAATTAAGTGTTTTAACTTTACCTCCCTGTGCTACACTTAATGAGCACCTATTTATTAAATGGACACAATATTAAATAAGGGAAACCCACAGGATAAACTGCAAGGCTAGAAACTTAAAACTAGGCTAATATAAGTCACGAGTTAAATGAAGAAAGTTAACCTAATCACTCTAAAAACACTTTATAAGATGGCCTATTTCTGGACTTAATGAGCTAGCCAATAAAAATATATATCCTAAATAACACTAAAATAGCAAATACTCAACAAAAGCAATAATTTAAAAAACTGAAAACTAAGTATGTTATTCTATTTCTATAGCCTTGTTTTTCATACCTTTTCTTCCCTAATTCTACTTATCAGTTCCTTCCTTCAGCTCTTTAATTTTCCTTCCAGTTAAATGTTGCATTTTTTCCTTCCCTCGCCCAGTCCTTTTCACTTCTACTGTCCCTCCAATTCTTCTTTTAATCTAACAAAAATGCAAATACTGTCTTTGTCATCTCTGTCAGCAATTCTGTATAAAACAAAGGAATGGTAAAAAGCAGTGAACGGAATGATATCACCAGTCAGACTGGTAGACAAAACCATATGCATTAATCTGGGTGGCTGGTTTCATAATACTAAGCAGCTAATCTAGACCATATGCATAGTAAGTGGAGTCTGACAGGCATCAGCAAGTCCTTGAGGTTATTGCAGCAGGGCAGTGGGGGGTAAGAGAAAAGACCAGCCAACTTGCTGGTGGTGAGGGCAGCTACAGCACAGCCTTACAACATTCTCCTATTTGTGCCCACCATTCAAGAGGAAGCAGAAACAGGGAATTCAGGCAGCTGTCAGCTATCTGGACTAGCACGGTCAGGTAACCGATTTAACGGCGTTTGCAGCATTAGCCAACCAGCCCTAGATGCTAGTCTGAGCACACTGGCCAGGGCACCAACTTTAGGACACAAAATAAAGACTGCTGCTCCCAGGGCACTTCTGAATTTTAGTTTTACTACAGAATAGATTCTGAGAGAGGCAGAGAAGTACCTGAAGAGAAATTATATAAGTATATAAAGTAGGTTGGTAGGAAGAAACAATTGTTAGAAGGAAGGAGAGTACATTCTTTTAATTACCTGAGAGTAACTTTCTAAAACCACTCAACATTAGTTCTTGCAGGCATGGGGAAGTTCACCCTGAGGACCTATCTCTTAAGGAATTCGCAATCAAACAAAAATGAAATCTCTTGAAAAGCTTTACAAGTTTAACAGTGAAGGATGTGTCTGAAAAAGTTTCTGGACTGTCAAAGCAGCACCTTTATTGAATTCAAAGCAGTATAGTGCAAGATTTATTTTTACCCGTGTCCAGGAGTTAAGCTTTGATTCTCCAGAATTCTGTGGATCTTTCTTAATCAGACAACACAAGCACCATATTAGAATTTTTTGGCTTTCATCTGCAAAAAGGAAAACTAAAATGAGTAGGTTTTATCAAATAGAAAGAAAAGATAATCAATATAAAATTTGTAACATTATATACTAAAGGAAATATATTTATTATATTTTAGGAAAATCACAAACTACTAAGTTCATAGAACAAGCATCCAGGACCATGTATGAAACTTTGTGGTTTTTTTCCTTCTTGTGGGTTCAGGATCACTTATGCTTAGCCCTTGTGAGGTCAGTTCTCTTTCTGTCACAGCAGCAATTTTTAAAGCCAAAAGACAATGATGGAAAGAACTAAAAGAACTAGCTTTTTTCAAGATCAGTTCTTTATTTTATATTCAAACCATTAGTAATTTCAACCTTTTTAAGGCAATATCACTGCCATAAGCAGTAGTCAATATTTCTGATTTAATCAAATTGGCCAAAATACCCCCACTTGTTAAAAATAAATTTAACAAAAAGAATTGTTTTAAAATACATTCTTTTTAGTACCAAATGGTTTGGATAAAATAGAAGCCTTTTTACATGCTCCTAATTCTTTACTCTAAAATGTAAAACTTTACTAAATATGTGATAACAATGCTGACCTTTGAAATCTATTTGGCTAGAACATCTACTTGGTAAGCTATTTTCTCTTTCCTCCTTTGGTAACTAAGTCCATTCAAGTTGGAGATTCTATAACACAACTGAGAAGCAAAAATGAGACCTAAAAACGGAAGATGTCAGTACCTGAACTAGAGCCAAGCTACTATGGACTTTACCACAAGGCCATGGAGGTGATGCTGAGGAAACCCAGCACCCGGAATCACTCCTCTGCAGAATCACCTCATGCTCTTTACTTTGTTATCTACTGCAATTTCATAAACACAGCATTTCTAAGGGCTTCGTTAACAAGAAATAAGGAGAATACAAACTACAGTAAGCTATCTCGGCATTTTCAACCACAAACCAAAGGACCCTGATAGTAATTTTAAATCCATTTTCCCCCCATAAACTTAGGCTCTCCTAATAACTAACACCACCTCTGAACAAACTTTATCAGGGGTTATCCTGAGGGATATTCCTATTTTTCCTAGCTTTTATGAGCTCAATTACATCACTGGCTTGCCTGAAATCAGTTCATTGCAAGAATCACATAATTTAACCGCTGGAGATCCTAGGGTTCTTCAGGTTGAACCAATGCCACTGATTAAAAATCTGACTGTTGTACTTTCTATGTTTTAAATATCAGAAGAAATTATAACTATCTGTATGTCACAAGTGTGACAAACACATCTAATGATATGCTTATGTAAGCAGCTTCCCATGTTATACAGAATGCAACCTGATGGGGAGCATTTCCAAAAATCAGACACTCAGCACTAAAGAGAAAAAAGACAGAAAATGCTAATTATGGAGTGTGAATCTAAAAGAATCCAAAAGATAGGAGTTTTCCCCAGGTGTTGAGTGACACTGCACATTTAGTTCAACAAGCATATTATTTTTTACTTTTCTCTCAAAAAGAAAAAGAAGAGCAAGAGTAACTTGCCCCCAGCCTTTATTTCTTTGCCCAGAGTCAATGCACTGAAATGCACTGCTAATGAGCTTACTTTGCTTTAGGGATTTAAAGATGCAAGCCATCACCTATTATTCATGAATGCTACCAGCACTGTCTACAGGGGATGGCATCTGTCAGGCTCCTCCCTAGAGGCTCAGACATCGGAGCTGGAGCACTGGGGATCGAAAACTGCCTGGGATTCATCATGCAGACAGTCATTAGTGCAAAGCTCCCATCTAAAAATGAGTGTAAGGGAAAGGAATATACCACCATATATTTGCCACCTAATATTTTATTTTTTGATATCTTGAACTGAAAGCTCAAATGAAAGCTGAATTAATTCTATAGTTTAAAAGTGTGATGGCAGCATTTTTTTAGACAATAAATATTTGTTTTAAGCTGCCAAGTTTGGGGGCAAACTCTCACACAGTAATAAAAAGCATGAGGAAAACAGGTTATAGCTATAATATGTTAATCATGAGCTCAGACCTAGAACCTACTAGCCAGAACTCCAAGGAGGTGAAGGCAGTAATTTTATGGAGAGAACACCACTGAATAAAAGGTGTTTTTTCCCTTTCTATTAACTATTTTCTCTCTTCCCTTTGTGGAGTCTTTTAATTTGCAAATCCTTCCTCCTTCCTTATTATCCTTATTTCTGATCCTAGTCTCACTTACTTACTTCTTTCCTTGATGGAAACTGTTTACTCTTACTGTACTTAAAAAATAATTTTGATATTACAAAACCATAAGAAAATATCCCTTCCTGGAAGAAAGTGCCCAACTAGTGAAACAACAGTGGCAACACAGGCAAGATTTGATTACTCATGAGTTCTGTGCCTGTCAGTCTCCTCTACTAGCTCAAAACCAAATGCATACCTCAAACAGGAAACTGAAATTTAATGGGCAGTTCAAATGGTAACACAGGCATTTAAACAGAAAGAGATGGAGAATTTGTTTCTGGTTCACAGAGGGGGCCAAAGTAATAGAGATTAGGTGCTAAGGAAAGATCACAGACAGATGCAAGTCTAAGTCCACAGGGAAAAATCAGCCCAGTCTCTCACTTTTACAAATAAAGAATCGGAGACCCAGTGAGTTCTTGCCTTAGTTCTTGCCTTAGAAAATCCTATCTCATCTATTTTCCTCCAAGAGTCAGACCCCGCAAAATCTCCCCTGTGAAACTCTCCTTCCCCTCAGCAACTTAGTCAAAGCTCCACAGTACCAACCATCATCCTGACTCTGGCTGATCTCCTTAGGTTTCTTTTTTCCCTGACTGGAAGATCCTAGAGGGCAGAAATTGTGAGCCATGTTTTCCTAGGGCTTGACATTAAAAAAAAAAAAAAAATAGTGACTATATACATTCACATGAAGGTGGCTGGTGGTAAAGCCAGGACTGGAACATTTCAACCACAGTGGTACAATCCATGGGGGCAGATCATTACAACAACATGGGCTTTAGAGGAGTAGGATCCTGGATTTTATTAGTTCTATATTCTGAGAAAAGTGACATATTTAGGCTAATCCATAAATACCTATCCTGCAAGCCTATCAAGAACTCAGTTAGACCCACGATGCAATCCATAGAGAACAGTGCTCAGCACAAAGTGAGCAATGCGTTCTACTTCAATTCTACAACCCAAACTTTCCCACATTTTAACATTTCTGAATTAAGGATGTGTCCCACATCCACTAGGTACAATTAAAGGGCATATTATTTCTTTTTTCTAAAAAGTGGTCATTCAATCCATGAAGTATCTAACGATAAGTGATGCCTTTAAATGGAGGAAATTCAACAGTTTCTTTTCCTTTCTCCTGCCATCAACAGCATTGGCCTAGCTCAATGTTTTTCACATTTTTGGTCACGACCTATAGGTGGATTGTAAAATCAGTTTTGGGTCATGAAAACCATTTTAAAAATGGTATAGTGAATATGAATTGCACATAATAAAAGCAAGCATTTTTTCATGAAACGTGTGGGTGTATGCATATAAGTGTACGTATGCATATATATACATGTATAGAAAATGTATTTCTGGTCAAAGGTTTTTTGAGAAACACTGGCCTAGTTGAAATATATAAATTTGGGGCAGGTAAACATGGCCCTAGTAGGCAAATACAGTGATGGCTTCGCCATTTTAGATCAAGAACTTGAACAAGCTAAGTGGGTAAAGGAGGAAGCGTCAACTTAAGGGGGAAGAGGAAGCAAGAGGCATTAAGTGAAGAGGAAAAGGAATAGAATGAAGTTGGGGGTGGAGCCAGTAAGTTTGAGTATATGCAGTGCACCCATGCATGTATGCTCATGGAACCAAATGCAAATGTTGTCCCTTCCCCACCTAGTTCAAGCTCCTTCTAATGACTTAGAACAGGCTAGGAAAGAGATACTGTATAATTCTCTAAACATCAAAGGGGAATATTCTTATTATTTTTGATTCTACTATCATTATATTATGCAACTAGTCTCTGACTTTAAAAATATGAAAAGTAGGGGGCTTCTCTGGTGGCGCAGTGGTTGAGAGTCCGCCTGCCGATGCAGGGGACATGGGTTCGTGCCCCGGTCTGGTAGGATCCCACATGCCGCGGAGCGGTTGGGCCCGTGAGCCATGGCCGCTGAGCCTGCGTGTCCGGAGCCTGTGCTCCGCAACGGGAGAGGCCACAACAGTAAGAGGCCCGCGTACCACAAAAAAAAGAAAGAAAAGTATATATTACATTAGCTAACAATATAGTCAAATCAAGGCAATAAACCTCCACTATATACCTTCAGATGTGCCTATTCACCCTATGCTAAGCTCTGGGACAACAAAGAGAACTAAAACCACAGTTCCTGCTGTTGAGAGGCATTCAGTCTTCCAGGGCATCAGACAGGCAAACCAACAATTAAGGAAGGTTCCTAACTCAGCCCTAGCAAGGCTATTTCGAAGAAGATTTGAGGACATGAGATGAGAACAGAGTTCCAGGCAAAAAGAACTGCATGTCGCAGGCCCAGACATCAAGCACTGTAGTAATTTAAACTGTCTACAATGCATGTGGTATAGCTGTGGAGGATTAAACAGGAAATGAGGCTAGACAGGTAGGCAGGAGGTCAGTGAAGGAACACCTCCCCCAAAGTATCCCCAAATTCCTCTTAACCTTGAGTAAAACCAAACTGTCACCCCTAAATAATGGCAGAGCCATAGCAGAATTCAAACACTGAAGAATTTTACACATGGAAAATGGTGTGTGAGTTAATATGAAATTGCAAAACAAAGAAATTATTTCATTATTATAACCATTTTACACTGAATTAAAAATGAAGTTGTAACAATCATCTGGGAGTTTCTGCCCTCTAATTCAAGGAGTTCTGTTCTCCTACACATCTGCATGTATGTGTTTGTTTGTGTGTGCTTATCTATATACACATACACAAACATATATGGACAACAATAAAGGGTGCCTTCTTTGTAATGGAACAAGGAATACATTTGATAAGTTGTTTCATGAAAAATAAGAGAAAGGCTTATAATTTAAAGTTCTGTGTTTTGTTAAACAATGCAAAGATTAAAATTATCATTAGAAGTCTGTATTTTGAGAGGACATGCTTTGGATTCTTACCATATGCTAAGATAAAAGGATTCCAGCAAGTTTTTGCCAACAGTTGACCAACTGTGGGGAATCTTTCAATAATTGCACTTGAATCCTATAAAAGAAAATAATGTTTTGGTAAGTAAAAGGACACTACACAACTCAGAAAAGCCTGAACTGCCATTATAGGTTGAGGGAGCTTGAATGTTTCTTGTTTAGCATATATTTTAGAAAAGTAGGGGGAGAAAAAGGTTAGAGAAGATCTTTAGGTAAGTAACTCTAATAAAGTTTAACAAGCAATCACCATACTTCATCCTTAAACCAGGCCACCCAAACTAAGAAGTACAACAAGTTTAGGTAAAATCAATATTATTGCAGCATTAACTTTCTTTTACTCATATTTAAGTCAAGAAAGTCCACTTTATCTAAAAAATAACAAAGACTGCATAATAGTGAAAAAAAATTATAGGTGACTAACATCTATATAACACCATATGTTCATCCTGGTTTTTTTTTCTAACATAATAAGAGAAGTTCCTGAGGCAGCTCCAGTAGCACTATCTCAAAGAAGGTTTAGCAGGACAAGAACTCTGGAACTTGTAAAATGAAATAAAAGCAGCCGAAGCATATAGATACATATCTCTGTTTATTACTATTTGGATTACTATATGCTAAATGACATCATACTTGTCTGCAACGACCTAAAACCTGACACAAAAAACAATCAACCAAATAGAAAACAGCTTAAGATTAAAAAATACACTTGCTGTTGTACACTTGGCCCTTTCCCACTTCTTTACCTTTCAAGAAAGTTAAAAAATAAGACCAAACTGGGCTAACATGCACGTAAGCTGAAATGATAAGCATTTCCTACTGCTGAAGCAATAAATTCCTCACATTTGTCTGAGCATCAAGGTCAGTCCTGGACTTTCTGGAATCACTTTAAGGTCAAGTTACTAAAGTCTCATTGCCAAAAAACAATTTTAAAAGTTAGCATTAGTTGTTCATACAGACAGTATCTTTTCTTCTTCTTTCTAAAGACATGTGAACTCATATCATCACTATTAATTGTTCTTCAAATTTCCTACTTGCTTCTTTGATTAAGGAAAGAAAAGTATAACACAAGAACACCTACATTAAATGACAATTTTGCTTTTCATTCTGAAATTAGAAAATAGGTATAAACAAATAATATTTTGATATTATGAAAATACATTAATTCACAAAAATACCTATTGCAATGAAAGTAAGAAATCTTATGTCAAAATGAAAAAATACAAAATTTTGAACACAATAACGTACACAACAATAGTGAAGACACTCATAATCTTAATAGTCACAAGAAAAGTCCACTTAAAATATTTATAAAGAAGAGATCTTAACATTTATCATCTCTTAGTAGAGCCTACTTTAGAATAGGGTTGAGAAAAAAGTAAGCATTTCAGCAAACCCTTCCAATATTTAAGAGATACAAAGGCCTTTAAAAGAAACCCAATTATTTCCTGACAACAAGTGTCGAAGTCTTGTTTATTTAAAAACAACTTGATTGGACGGGAAGTCTCATGTGACAATATAACTAATCAAGAAAGAAAGGACTGAAGTCATAATGAATCAGACACTAGGAAACCACATCCTGTCTGCAATATTTACAGGTAATTTGTCTGTCTAATCTTTCGTTAGGTCAATACCACAAGTCCCTGGACTGCATTCAGGCTTAATAATATCTGGTAAAGAGTTCCTGATGTCACAAAATAACCTTATTATTTTGGTCCACTACTCACCATCTCTTTCAAGGCTTCATACAACTGCCTCAGGAACTCCTGGAACTGAGGCAGGTGAAGACAGGTGTCTTGTTGGGTTTCCAAAGTGGATGCCTGGTCCCATACAGAAAGCTTATGCATCCAAAACTGAAAATCAGAAGGAAGGCCTACTGAATCTTGAGCCATCTCAGAAAAAGGGAAAAGGTGATGTACCTTCACAGTGGTTTGTCACACACTGAAGGAAACAGTGAACACACATCAAATCTATAAGAAAGGGGGAAAGAAATGAAAAATTTAAAAAAGGATCTTTTATCAATGCCTTCATACCACTGATGAGTGAAAGGAGGATTACAAGGGACCAAAATAGCATGCTTTCTGTGAAGTCATCTTTGAGTTATTTTAAAATGTGTCACCCAGCTGTATCTCCATTTTTACCATCTGAACTTTTTATCGTGAGTAATATCATTACACTAAAAGTCATTATACCTCCACAGGCACATGCTAATTATGTACAAAAAGCACAGCTGATAATACTTTATATCTTCTTTTTAAGATTGAGCTATTTTTAAATGCTCTGAATATGAAGTTCATTTGAGTATTTTAATGTAATGGGAAATCAAAAACATCCAGGGGAGTTTCATAATAGTCTGTGCCTAAGAAATGTTTTTGAAGTTCTTATGTTTTATATGCACTTCTGGCTTCTCATTTAGGTGTAAAAAAAATCTCTATGCATTACTGTCTAATGAATTTTCTTCCTAGTTTCTCAATTCTGAGAAAAAAGTAAAATAATTCATTCCACATGCACCAATTTGAACAATCTGCTTAATTTAATTAATGACTGCTGTATATGCTTGGTCTCCATTCACAAGAAGAAATCATATTTTGGTAAAATAAGATAAACTCCAATTGCTGAGGAGGTATGCCAGTCCTAAGTGACAGAAAATAAAAACTCATAAACCTGACTTACGACATCTGAAGTACATGTTAAAAAGAATAGTGGAGTTACATGCAGAGTGAGCGAGTCCCTCAGGCAGAGATAGGTAAATAAACTCCAGGTGCCTCACCACCATCCCAGCTCCTTGCCATCCACACCCATGGGAAGCATACTGGGCAAAGAAGGGAAGGCTGCTTCTCAACAGGTGCAGGCTTTTACAGACTCATAGTTTCCTGGGGCAGGGATAATACTCAGCTATCTAATTTCAAAAGATTACTCTGAAAGTAGTAAGTGTGTTTAAATCTTCAACAGCGATAAAGTGCTCCCAATTAAATGCCAATAACATCAACAATGGAGGTTTTCATTACTAAACAGGAAAATAAGAAAAAAATAGCAAGACTGTACAATTTTGCTGCAGTGCAAAAAAAATCTAGACCAGGAAGATGAATGTTTTAAAATAGTACTAAAAATTTAGTTTTGAAAAGTACCATAAATTTTTTTATAAGTTTAATTATAGAGGGAAATATGCATACTGTCAAATGGCACATACATAGCCAAAAATCTAGATGTCTGATTCCTCTTTCTCTATCTTCTTCGTCCAAGACACCACCAATACCTGTCAATTCTACCTCTAAAATAAATATATGTGATTTCATTTGACCTCATTCACTTCTTTCCATTTCCACTACTGCCATTCCATCCTATTCCTGTCCATTTCTTCCCTAGAGTCTTCTATCTGGTCCCACCTATTCACCTCCAGTTCATTTTCTACACTGTCAACAAAAACAACTTTCCCAAGTGTAAATCAGACCTAGTATACTCCTGCTCAAAACCCCCTTCAATACATCCCTTGGTAGGAAATCTCAACCCCCTGCAGAAAAGATACCGGCTCCTTACCAGAGTCTCCAAGGCCTTGTAAAACATAGCTCCAGCACACCCTCCCATGTCCTATGTTGCCTCTCCCCAGCTGACCAGAGTCCACTCCAGGCCTTTCATCTGTTTACCAACACACCAAACCCTCCTTCCAGGCCTTTCTGCTGATGCCTCCACAGCTCTGAGCACACCGGTTAACTACCCTGGGCATTTATTTGTTCACTCAGTTATTATTGCCTCTACTGGTACATGCATTCTCTGTCTTCCCTGAATTTAGCCCAGGCCTGGGAAATGCTCAATAAATGTTGAATGAGGAAATATTTTTCAAAGTATAGTTCTAAGCTAAATGTTACAACAAAATGCTTTTCCAGGTAGAGCAATTTAATTTTTAAAAGGTAACTCCCCCAAAAAAGAAATTTTAAAGGTATTTTTATGTTATCTATGTAAAACTTAATTATTAATATCCCATTTTATAAATATAGTAATAGCTTACATATTCATATAATTACTATGCTCTTGGCAATATATTAAATACCTTATGCATACTAGCTAATTTGATCCTCACAACAACCCTATGAAATGGGTATGTACTACTATCCTCATTTTACAGAAGCACAGAGAGATTATGCAATTGCCCAAAGAAAGATTATGTAAAAGCCAAAGGAAGTAACTGTTAGTAAGTAGCAAAGCTATGGTTGTGGAATCTGAATTCAAAGACTTAAGCTCTAAAGTCAGTGCCCTTAAACAAAGAAATAAACTGAAGAAACAAACTGATGAATTTCTAACATGTTTCATATGGCTCTATATGTAAGTCAGTTTAGATATTTGGGAACATCAAATTGAAGAACTTTTTGATAGAAGAGACAAGAAACTATTTTATTTTAACAAAATTACAAACAACCTCTAGTTTAGCAATGGAAATGCATCTGATTGTTTTAAATGGAAAAAGCTTTAGGGATCATGCAGTACAGTGGTCCTGGACGCTCTATTTCACAGCCTATCTGGGGAGTGGGGTCAGTGGGAGTAGGGAGATGATAGTGGTTGTGAAACAGGTGGTACCCTGGTTGTGATGGTAGCAGTGGAGGTGCTGCTGGCATTTACTGTCCAAGAGTCAAGGATGCTGAACACACTGCAATGCACTGGGACAGCAGCTCAAAACGGAAAATGGTCTTCCCCCAAAGGCCAACGATGCCCCTACTGAGAAATGCTGACCTAATCTGCACAATCTGGAATGGGCATCTGTTGGTTTTGCCTGTTTACCATTCCTCCTCCATTTTTAGTTATAACACCTTACGTTTCCTTTAGGAAAGTATCTCCCCTATATTCCCCAAGTCTTGGCAGGTCCATTAATCAAGGTACCTATGCCATCAGTCAAGGGGTGAGATGATGATTCAAAATAGGCAAACTAGACTCTCTACTGGGAATCCGAATCTTGAGCAGACTGCCATAAAGGTGGAACTAAGTCATTCAAAGATTCTCTTAGTCTAGATCCCTATGCCATCTCCTTAACAAGGTATGACTTTTCAGCTTTCTCTTTAATTCTGTCAGCTACCCAGGGGCCATCTAATAATTTTTTTGTGTGTGTGCTTAAATTAACCACTACTGGTTTCTGTGATTTTCAATAAAAGAACACAAACTGATATAGTCTGATGTTATATAGTATCGGATACAAACTGATACCAGATAGTGAGCTGCAGACAACAGACCTTTGGAGAAAGGAGGGGAATTTAGAACTGCTACTGGGCCAAGTCAGGTAAAATGACAGTGAAACTTCTGTTCCTATTAGGGAACTGGAAACCAGAAGTCCATGGAAGAAGGTAATACAGATCAATGAGGCATCACTCTCACACAGGGGTCCTGAATCATTACACTCTTCTAGTAGGAATGGCCAAGTGAAACCACTTGACTATCAAAAAAAAAAAAAAAGTCACACATCTGATGACTTGCAGAGAACCTCACTCCTCAGCTGAGGGGCCAATGGGTCTTAGTCAGTGATATTAGGCTGTCATAAACGTAATCAAATGGTGACTCCAACTCAAGGTGTACTTTTAGATATGAATCCTAACTACTGGGGCAAATTAATACTACACTTTGCACCTAGAATACAGTTAGGAAGCTGGTAAATGCATTTCTCCATGGGGATAAACTGAGGACATGAGAAAGCAGTTGACTTTCACCTGAATCAAAGATATAAATTCTGGATATAGCACATTACACTGGTCTACCATATTGAAGATATCAGGCTGATCAAAGTAGGAAGATACGGGTGCCTTGTTTGTATTCCATATGGTGGGATATAAATCCCATGAACATACAGGGCCTGCCACTTCAGGAAGTTTCTTGTAATCCAATGGTCTGTGGTCCAGTCAGGATATGCCCTTTAAAATGAAGATACACAAGAATCTAGTACCAGTGGTGGCCTCCGTTGTGGAGACCTAAGCAGATGGATGATAAGTGCAGGAAAGGAAATGTCCTTTCCTGTACTTTTACTGTACACCTTTTTGCAACTTTTCAATTTAATGCCATGTGTACTAGTTACTGACTCAAAATTAATAATAATAAACAAACAAAAAAGAAAGTGAATGATAAGTGCTATACCTTACACCTGCTAAGAAGCAAAATGCTTGGCTGATACCTCTGGGATTCTGAAGGTAACATATACTACATGGGTTTTAGACCATTTATCTGCTTCTACCCACTTGCCTGGCAAGGAGGAAATACGGGTAGGCCCAGAGGAATCATCACTATACAGCTTATCTGTCCATACTGAAGTGCTCTGCCACTCAGCTACGACCCAGCAGATCCTACACTCTTTAAAGCCTGTGTGGAAGATCTGGGTTCTGGAAAAACCTTATGGCAGGCCTCAGTAACTGGACTGATCTTCCAAGCCACAAAGCTGGGTGTACCCAGCAGCACTCTATCATCATGTGCAAATTATGCCTGCTTGGTCAAAATGCATGAATGAGGTTTTTGGATGCTATCTGTATATGTCTTGCTTGCTATGTCACAGAATTTTTTAAAATTCCCTTCTCTTTCATTTTCCCCTCTCCTACTACTGCATATATGAAGTATATTATTAGTAGATAAATTTGCTAAAATCTATAATTTACAGATAATAACAAAGATGGGAAAAGGAACCGACATTATCCAGAACCTCTGGACTTGAAGCTAGATGCATTAACCAGGCATTACTTTGAATTACCTCCCTTTTTGGAAGGAAGAGAAAGCTAAATTATGTTAGTGGAAAGTGTTTTAAAAATTCTTTGTATGGAAAGCAATAGGTTTGAATGTCTTGAGTAACCAAGAAGAGACAGTGGGCATATCTGTTGTTTTTGCCCGCCTAACACCCTTTTCCTGTTCTTTTAATATACAGTCAGCACTCTCTATCCACAGGTTCTGCATCTGTGGATGGAAATTTTTTTTAATTTCAGAAGGTTCCAAAGAATTTGCCATGCACCCGCTACTATTTACAAAGCATTTACCTTGTATTTACAACTATTTACACAGCATTTACATTGTATTAGGTATTCTAAGTAATCTAGAAATGATGTAAACTATATGGGGGAATGTGGGTAGGTTATATGCAAATACTATGCCACTTTATATAAGGGAATTGAGCATCTGTGGATTTTGGTATCTGCAGGGTCCTGGAATAACCCCCCTGCAGATATCAAGGGACAACTGTATACACACCCCACTTATGCTCTGAAGAAGTGCCCTTCCTTTCCGTATAGTTTTAATGAGACTGGTTTGCCTCCTCAGAAGTGGAAGAGTTACACAAGTCTAACAGATAAAACTAACAGCTAAGGAATACACTATACAAAATAAAATGAGTTTATGTCCTTTTTATCTGACATAAACCGTAGACTTTCACCCATTAAGGAGTTCTTTATGATGATCTCACTTAAAACACAAACTGTGTGGCACAAGTGAAATTCTGTTTATGATGTTTTCTTTCTTTCTTTCTTTTTTTGGTACTGTTCAGTGAGTATTTTTTAGTATTCAAAAAAAAAGTAAACAGCCAAATGAATCCTATGTACCCTTTAAACAGTTCAAACAATTATCAAGATTTTCCATTATTTTTTTTTTTAAGATTTTCCATTTTTAAAGCAAATCACAGATACCATATCACTTTACTCAAAGTATCTTGATTTGTGTCTTTTTTTTTTTTTTGCGGTACGCGGGCCTCTCACTGTTGTGGCCTCTCCCGTTGCGGAGCACAGGCTCCGGACGTGCAGGCACAGCGGCCATGGCTCACAGGCCCAGGTGCTCCGCGGCATGTGGGATCTTCCCGGACCGGGGCACGAACCCGTGTCCCCTGCATCGGCAGGCGGACTCTCAACCACTGCGCCACCATGGAAGCCCTGTGTCTCTTTTTCATAAAGACTTAGAAGAAACTTAACTACAACATCTCTTTCATATCCAATAAAGCCAACAATGCTATCATCTAATAGCCCTTCTATGTTCAAATTTCTTAAAAACTTCCCTTTATATTTGGATCGTTTATATTCGGATCCAAACAAGATCCACACATTGAATGTAGTCAATATTGATATTTCTCCTTTAATCTGTAACAAAATGATGTAAAAACAAGGCTTCTCTAATCTGTAACAAGTACCCCTCTTTTATTTTTTTTTAACCTCTTCATATCATTTATCCCCGGGAAAAACCAACACATTTGACCTATAGAATCTTTCACACTTGTGCATTTAGCATTTCTTGTGGTGGTCTTTAACATGTTTTGCTCTCTCTTCTATATTGCTTGCAAACGGATAGCTAGACCTAGAGGTTTCATTAGATTCAGGGTTAGTTCTTTTGCAAGAATACTTCATTTGTGGTGTTGTGTTCTTTGAATCAAATCAGAAGTCACATATAGTATCTGGTTATCTCATGTATCATAATGTTGAAACTGATCAGTGGTTTCAGGTATTGTCAAACAAATCCATCCATTATAAAGTTCACCACCACCTTTTCTCTAATGGTTTTAGGATCTTCTGATGATCATTTTAGGTCCATTAGAGGTTGAAAAATAGTGATTTTTCTAATTTTATCCATTCTCCTGCTTTTATGATGTTTCCTGATGTATAGAAGTTTTACATTTTTAGGTAGTCAGGTTAACAATCTTACCTTTGGAACTCCAATGTATGTCTCTCCAATCCTGTGAAACTGCCAAAAGTTCTGCTAACTTCTCTCACTTTTAGTAGTACAGGCCCTCTTCTAGGTTCTTGGTCTCTCCCAGCTTCTCAAGAAATGACAAATGCCCTGAGGTTGAAAAGCTGCTGTAAAATGTCTGCTCAGAACTTTGCACCTCCCTTCATCCCAAGATCTTAACCACTTGAGTCATGAGTACCTTCATAGTTCTCCAGTATCTTCCAAATACATTTTATCTGGCTTTTCTAGCCACTCTAAAATAGCTGGAGGTAAAGTCTATAATAAGTTCTCTTGATTAACCAGGATAGGTGAGGTAGAAAAAAGTATGATGCAGACTATATTTAATGCAAACATACTTTCTTTAAAATTGCACCCAGGGCGTCCCTGGTGGCGCAGTGGTTGAGACTCCGCCTGCTGATGCAGGGGACGCGGGATCGTGCCCCAGTCGGGGAGGATCCCACATGCCGTGGAGCAGCTGGGCCCATGAGCCATGGCCGCTGGGTCTGCGCATCCGGATCCTGTGCTCCGCAATGGAAGAGGCCACAACAGTGAGAGGCCCACGTACCGCAAAAAAAAAAAAAAATTGCACCCAATTTCAGTTCTATTTCAGACTATATAGTTGAGACCAACCTTCTTGCTGAAAGTTATTCTATAAAGCTACATGAAATATAAAAACGTAATTCAAAAATCACCAAAGAAACAGCAAGATAGTGTGGAATTTTCAGAGAAAGATCTTGGCACATAAGGTGGCACAGGCCTAGGGAGGCTTTTCTGGTCCTGAAGAGGTAGTTTAAAGACAAAGCAGCAATTTTGACAGCCTTGCTAGAGAGTAAAAGTAGGAGGCCAGGCCCGTCAAAGTGAGGTCCTTGTAAACCACCCCACATTGAGGACTGCACCCACAGAGGTCCACCCTGAGAGTATGGGTGACCCAGAAGCAAACCAGCCTGCATACAGACTACAGCCTAACTATGAAACTGAAACTGAATTAAGGTGGTCCCAGGTTGCTAGTGCTGCTAGGTACCTGCAAGATGCAAACAAAATCCGCTCTGGAGAAAAATAACATCATCATACCTTTCTAGTTATTTCTGAAAATAATTTTTCAAATCCAACAAAATTAAATAATTAAAGACAGGCACACAGGAAGAAAAGAACACATGAACAAGAACCCAAAAACAATGGACAAGAACAACAAAAACCCCCAAAACAGAGAGGTACTCAAGATAGTTCAAAAACTAGACAAATCCCTGGTGGCACAGTGGTTGAGAGTCCGCCTGCCGATGCAGGGGACACGGGTTCGTGCCCCGGTCCGGTAAGATCCCTCATGCCGCGGAGCAGCTGGGCCCGTGAGCCATGGCCGCTGAGCCTGCGCGTCCGGAGCCTGTGCTCCGCAACGGGAGAGGCAACAACAGTGAGAGGTCCACGTACCACAAAAAAAAAAAAAAAAAAAACTTGACAAAAACTGTAAAGTAACTAAGAGGGTCCCTTGTGAAGATGAAAGCCAAAATTTCATCAAGGAACTGAAAACTATAAAAAAATGACCCTGTAGATGAGAAACAAACAAACAAACAAAAAAAGCAGGAATTCTAGAACTAAAAAAAAACTGAAATTAAGAATTCAACAGATGGGTTTAACAGCTAATTAAACACAGTTGAAAAGGGATTTGATAAACTTGGAAGATATATTAGAAGAAACTATCCAGAATTCAACATGGAAAGTAAAAACAATGGAAAAATACAGAAGAATGGATAAGATACACAGAAATACAGTGAGAAAAAGCTAGAAAACCTATCTTCAATGCAATGAAAGGAAGAAAGGACCAACCTAGAATACTACACTAAGCTAAAATACTCTTCAGGAATAAAGGTAAAATAAAGCCTTTTTGACACACTGAAAGAATCTGTCACCGGTAAACCTGCTCTAAAGGACGCTCTTCAGGCAGATGGAAAATGATTCCAGATGGAAGTCTAGAGATGTCAGAAGAAATGAAAAAACAATAAAAAATGATAAATACATGTGAAATTTTAAATTAACACTTATGATATAAAATAAGAATAGTATTATTGGGGTTTTATACATATATATACTGAAATTAAAATATAAAAAACAATAGTACATATGCCAGGAGAATGACAGACTTAAAGAGTTCTAAAGTCCTTGCATTTTCCAGGAAAAGGAGGATAAAAATGTTAACATTCGACTTTAATAATTCAAAAAAGCATACCATAATTTCTAGGCTATCCACTAACGGAAGAATAAAAGACAGTGTAGAATCTCCAAGTTATCAGAGGAGAAAAATTCATAGTAAAAAACACTTAACCCCCAAAAGGGCAAGACTGGAGAGAAAAGGAATATAGAATAGACAAAATAAATAAAAAGCACACAATAAGATGGTAGATTTAAACTCAAATATATCAGTAATTATATAATATGCAAATAGATTAAATTCTACAAGTAAAAACCAAAGATTATCAGTTTTGAATTTTTTAGAAAGCTAAATGTTGTTACAAAAGACACATCTAAAACACAAGGATATAGGGATAACAGAGAGGCTAAAAGAAGAATAAGGAAAAAAAATGCCATGTTAACCTAACCAAAAGAATCAAATAGAGAGGGTGGGAGGGAGGCGCAAGCAGGAGGGGATATGGGGATATATGTATACATATAACTGATTCACTTTGTTATACAGCAGAAACTAACACAACATTGAAAAGCAATTATACTCCAATAAAGATGTTAAAAAAAGAAAATCAAATAGTTTCAATTTAAATACACTTTAGCGCAAAAAGCATTATTAGAGGTAAAGAGAATCATTTCATAATGATAAAATGTTTAATTTACCAGGAATACGTGACAATTTAAGTTTACATGTACACAATAACATGGGAATGTAGAACAACATATAAAGCTTAAAATATAACACAGAAATTAACTACAATGAAAAATAATAAATTCCAATCATAGCAGGAAATTTTCACACACTTCTCTCGGTAAATCACAGGATAATCAGACAAAAATCCATGAATTACAAGTTTTCCCTCAAAGCACACTCTAAGCTTATGTGTTTATGTACACTAGTAGAATGCTCGTAGCAGTATTATTCATAATAGACCTAAATTGAAAACAACCTATATGCCAATCAAGAGTAGAATAAATAAAATATTCATACAAGGGAATACTATGGAGCAATAAAAATGCAGAAACTACTACTACAGTCATAGAGATGAACTGACAATCACTGGCTGAGAGAAAGAAACCAACCCATAAGAATATATAAGGTATGATTCATTTATATAATGTTCAAAAACAGGTAAAACTAAACTGTAGTGATTACCCCCAAAAAAGCCAGGAAACCTGCTACATTTAGAGCAAAGGAAGCAGTATTATTGGGAGGGTATGTGAGAAAGGCTTTCAGGATGCTGGCAATATTCTATTTATTGACCTGGATGGCAGTTACATATGTATTAACGTTTTAATAATTTATTAAAGTGTAAATCATGTTTATGTACTTTTCTACATGTATTATTTCCACAACTACAGAAAAATTGTTTTAACTTCTAGCTACATATTTGCCATACAGATATCACCCCAAAGGTAAGGAAAAAAAAGAAAACATAGTATAGTTTGTAAATGCGAAGCAAGACGTAAAGTACTTGATGAACATAATAAAAGGTTTTAAATTGCTGAAATAGTCTGCATTTTCTATTTTTTAGTTGAGTTCTCTGTTTGAAAATATTAAAACCACCAGAATTGGCCAGGGATACAGTTCCAGTGCTTGCTTCCTCTTCTTCATTCCTGTCCTCAAAATGTCCCCATTTTCCCAATCCTGGCTCTGAGGAAGAGAAAATCCACAGCCTTCTCCCTCCATCTGCCTTCCCTTAGCTATATGGCTACTGCTTTGCCCTGTGAGGGCCATTGCCACAGGAGGGGAGAGACATCCAATCTACCACGCAGGGGAGGATAACTGGTGAGAGCATGAGATGGTCTGTGCTCATGTATGAGGCAGTGTCCATGTATCTCAAAAAAAAGAGAAATGTATGCCTTGTAAAATGGGGGTGATTCTTCAGATTCATAGTGATTTCAACTTTTTTCACAAATGCACTGATTTTTTTATACCAGTTAATCTGCACACTTACTACACAACTGAGAACTAACTATACTTTTGATTGATACCACATCTTTTGATTGGTACCAAAATCCTTGATACTGCCCTGAATGTAAATCCTTGGCTTTCTTATGATCCTGCTGAGTGTATATGCCCTCACATGGACGCCTATGCCTATATTCATTTCATACAAACAACTAAAGAAATATTGTTTAGCATCTTTTATTTAAGAGCATAAAAGAAAGGTGGACATTCAATGACATATTTCCTCAAAACTCAAGATTTTAACAAGTATTTTGTGCACACACACACACACACACACATATATACTAATGTATACTAACGTAGCAAAAGCAAAGGGCATGGAAAGTTAGAAGGAAATCCCCTTTTTCATTTCTTGAATATTTCTCTTTTAGCACATTTACACAGGTTCCTAAGGAATCAAACAATGATTTCACCTTCTCTACATAGAGACTAAAAATAACAGAATTGCTAGTCTCCTCAGTATATATATCCAAAAGAAAATAAAATGACCTTCAGAAATTCTTATGAAGAGTGAACTAAAGGGAAAGTCCTATGAGCAGAGAGACCTAGACACCTGAATGGAAATGACTGTCCTGTGAAAGATTCCCATGTGCTTGTTCATGTCCCTGTTTCCTGCTGATCAGAGGAAAGCAGGAGGTGGGAGGGGGAGGAGTAAAGTGGCAAGGGAAACCAGCTCTGGGGTCCAGCAAACACCTGAGATACCCAAAAGAGACAGGGTCAAAATGGTGTCAGGTTGGGATCACTGCATTTGCCCTTTCCCTCTCATCTATAAATTGGTCAAAAGTTACTTTGTTGCTTGCCAAGTACTATTCTATGAACTCAAATCACATGGCACAAAGATACACTATTGCATACCCTCAATACCCTCAATGTCTATGAGGGTTCATACTCAGACTCAAAGTACAGCAGGTGAGAGAGAAGTAATACTTCAGGGCTAAAAGATTCCCCCATTTTGGTTGACTTC